AACGTTGAATATGTGTAATATTGAAAATTTATAAAAACATTTATAAGTATATATGATTTATCAGAAGTGTTATTATTGTAATCCTGCTAGTTATACTGAAATTTTAATTATGCCAATAAAGTTATAATTTTACATTAATGATAATAAAAAGAATGTTTTTTACAATGATATCTTTTAATTGGATACATTTTTAAAAAGACACCATGTTAGTGTTATTGAAATTCCATAAAAATTATTTTATCATTTATTTTTGGGAACTTTTTTAAGGCAAAAAATGCATGATTAGAATTTCAAAAACATCCAGTATAGGAAGTATTTCATTTTAAAATTATTTTACAAACATTTTTAACCCATGTAAGCGTCTTCAGTCCATCTTTACTATGTGTGGATGCACTATAATACTCATTGTTTGTTGAGTAGTTATTATTATTTTTTTCTCCTTGCACGTGTTTCACAGAAGACATTTTATTACCTTATGAATATGGTGTAAAACAGTGTGATGTAGTGTGCTTATTTATATATACTTGCTTTTAATTTAATTGAGGATTTAGTTTCGACAATACGATAACTTTATATTGCAACCAGCTCTTGACGTTTTATTTCCTATATGTTTAGGATAATTTATTATATGTATTAAGCTTAGTTTGTTTTCAAAATATTCATTTATGTGTATATTCTAGAAACTCTATACGGTACGGCCACCCTTCTTGCACTTACGATCTACAGACTTTTATTCTGATCTACCCTTAATAAGATCTAAAATGATTAAGAATCATCACAACTTTTTATTTTTTTATTTTATAGATTATTACCATTATTTTGCATACCATTGCTTTTTAAAGTACATGGGTACACGTTTAGAATGGTTTTAATTCGTTTAAAAGAATGGGTAATTAGTAATAAGTAAATAATTGAAAAAAAAACGAAGACTGTCAACTGTCAAATAAAAAAGGAAAGGAGGAAACAAGTTAAAATGTTGTAACCTCTCAACCTTCTTGAGGCTCTTCTCTTTCAACACAGTTTTTAAAACTTAGTACTAATGACTTTATACTTATTTATGCGTTGACCTTTAATTATAGTATAATTTTAAGAGCAAAATAAAATTTATAAGGTTATTTTCTTTTAAAAAAATAAAATTACATATGGGCAAAAAAGTTTTTTTCCCCGGGGCTGATTTTCTGCGTGCCTCAAATTATACTTACGGCATATCATGTGTTTTTTTTTTCCCTAAATATTCGGGCTTTATTTAACTATTAAATTTCTTTAAATTTAGCAATTACATTATGGAACTCGTCATTTAATAAAGTATGTCACAGTACTAAAAAGACGTTTTTTTTAAAAAAAAAAAGAAAATGTTATTTTTTTAATTGATGCCTAGTTAATCAAAAAATAAAACAAATCATTTTTATTTAATAACATTTGCTTATTGATGCAAATGTTAATATGTAAATATAGATGATATAATACAAGGTTTAAAATAGATGCAATCTGTCAAACTAAGTATTTTTTTTTTAATTTTGAGAGTTAACTATTTAAAATACACATTTATAAAATTAAAGCATCATAAAAATTCATATTTTAATTATTTTAATTGTTTTTTAGAAAGATACCGAGTATAACGCAATGCATATACTGATTCTACCGTTTCACAAATGAATAAAAAGCTCAGTGTCAGTTCGAAGAATGTTTGAAAAGTCATTTCTAATTGATTCATTAATCAATTAAAATATTCAAATTTCTTTACTTTCTCACTAATAAAAAATAAATACCTTTAAACATTTATTGACATCGAAAGCGTTTGTTTCAGATACTAATTTCAATGCTTGTTCTACTTCATACTGTTTTTTAAGAAATAGTTCTAGGTGTATTCTATAAATTTGTAAATTTGAAAGAACACGGGTTCTTTTTAACTACAACATGATACTTATTTTCAATGTATAAGCTATTTTCATGAACTATAACTACTTTGTTTGCAATTGTATCTTAAAAGAAAAGGTAAAGCAATTAAAACTCTTTTTTATACAACATAAAATCTTAAAATACCAAAATCTTTTACAATGTTGAAAAGAAAAAGATGTGATTGAATTGGAACATTGTGCTACACAGATGAAATTACTAAAAATCTGTGTACAAAATAAATATAACAATGTGTGATAAGAAACAAAATAACGTCAACAAAATTCTCTTCGTAATGAATTCCTAAATTCTGAACAAATTGACGTAGAATTATTGTTTAGTGCCCATTAAAACACACAACAGAAGGTGAAGAGTATTTGAAAGGAGGGAACGCATGCTTTCGAATTTTAAAATGCGAACACTAAACGCCATCTGTCTGCGAAGAAAGTAACTACATTTTTCAAGGAATCTTATTCGTAATACCCCTTTGATAGAGAAAGCAGAATTTTTTATTACTTCGAAAAAATATTTTATCCATGAGAGAAACATGTTAATAACTAGTATTTTTTTTCAATTTTTTTTTTAGTTTTTTAAAATAAGATGTATGTATTCTAATTTATTATTTCCAAAACAATCTCTCTTTTTCATTTCTTCTTAACTTCTACGTTTTTAAGTCCCTTTCTAATGTTTCTTAATATGACATGTAATGTACCCATGCTTTATTTCCTTATAGGCTTACTTAAGATGAAATTTCTGTGTAAATTTTCACAACTGAACGAAAAGTTTATTTGAAGTATTGCAGCAGATACGTCTCTAAAAAAGTTATGTGTAATTAGGACAGAAATAATAAAAAAAAAACGGAAAAAAGAATTCAGTTAAACAAAAAGAAATAGGTCTATTGCAAAAAGTGATTTTTTCACTTCAGTAAAAATGTCAGTATCTTTATTTTATTAATAATATTTCATTCTACATTTCAAATCAACAAATTGAGGATCATATGAATATGAAATATTTTTAAAAATGAATTCAATGAAGAGTCTTTTCACTTATTGTTACAAAGTATGTTTGATATTCAAAACGTATTTTTAGTTACAAAAATGACACAGTAATATATTACATGCTTGAGTTAAAATTCACATGCACTCGTAATGTTTTCTAAAACAGGCATTCGCATTTCATGAAATTTACAATCGAATTTGAAACTTTCCTCGTTTTTATGGAAAGTAAGGATTTCTTCAGAGTTATGTTGAGTAAGCACACAAATATAAAATGTATTTTACAAACGAAAAAAATGAATTAATTGTTTATAAAAATAAGTAATTTCAAAATGCTGCCTTATGACAATGAAGTCAAATACGTGACACTTTACGTTACAGTAAAGTACGATTATGAATTATATTCTTAATATAAAACGAAAATAGCAATTTTCATTTTTTACTAAGAGCAAAAGAAAAAAAAGAATTATTTTCGTATACCCATTTTTTGAAATATTTTTTTTATCTTATAAGAAATTAAATTTATGATTCTGAACTCTGAATTTCAAATATTGTTCATTTCTCAAAAACAAAAGAAACGACCTTTTAAAATAATATAGTCTAATTATTACTTGAATAAGTTTTCTTACTTTTAATTTAAAACTTATATTCCTCTTTATAAATAATGTATATATATATATGTGTGTGTGCGTGAGTGTGTGTATGCAAGCGTGTGTTATTTTTCTTTCTTTTATTTAATGATTACTACATTTTCTTCTATTTCACAACAATAAATATTATTTAAAATTTGTTGGGATTGTTAACATGCAACAAAATTTTAAATTTTTTGAAAAAATCGATTTTCTTAAAAATTTGTCTCGGGATTGTTAAAATGAGCAATCGATATCTTTAAAAAATCATACATCACAACTGCAAGTCAATGTACCTTTTAAATGAATTGCAAATTTAAAAACCAACAGAAAATTTTAGCTTTTTTTAATTTGCACTAATGAGTTAAGATTTTTTTTTTTGTCCCTTAAAAAATTGCAATCGTACATTTAAACAGTTTTTCCGGATTTCTTCACGGAGAATATCAATTCGTATAAATGAATTTTAATTATCGTATTTATAATTGATTTTCATGAACTAAATTACTAGTGATGAGTGTCTGGGGATAAAAAATGTTGAGAAAGGTTTTTAATAAAATATTATTTTTCCTCAGATATTTCTCATCAATCCATTTATTATCTCATCATCCAAACATGTTATAAAAATTAGAGAAAATTATTTTTCATGAAGAAAGATACTATTTCAAACTCTTTAATTCCATTTAGTTGGCTTACTTATTTAAATTAATCAAGTATCAAAAACAAAAGAGTGACACAAAAACGCATTAACATAAATAGGGATACTTTTAGAAACGTATGCATTTTTAAACTTTATAAGCAATATCGAATTTTTTGTATGTCTTTTCTCCAAAATGTCAAACTATTAAACAAATGATGATTATTTTTAATTCAGAACTTAAGATAAAACTTTGAATAAATCTTTTTTATTTGTTCAATACAAACTGCTATTTTATCCACCACCCCCACCCCGCGCAGCCTCTAGTCTCAAACAAATGTTTAAAAAAAGAAGGATTTCTGTTAATATTGATATGTACAGTATTTTCAAATATCAGTTTAGCATCTTACTTGTAGTTATTTCTCACACGATCGCGCGATTATACTGTCACAAATTGTAGTTATACTGTCAGTTAGGTTGTGTGCAGTTTTTTGCTCGGACATTAATTCCAGGCATATTAGAACAAATTATATAGTGAAGCGATCTGACCAAGTTTCAATTGGAGAGGTATCCAATTCGTGTGTCTTTATTGAAAATAATTTTTCAATTTCTCTCTCTCTCTACTATTAGTTCATTCTCTCCCTATATATATATTTTACTCAAATTTTCAATCGTTAAATAAAATACTTTCTATTCACCCATTCAAGTTCCAATACATTTTTTTTAACTTGTAGTGGATGACACTTGATGTTAATACATTTTTCAAATATTAATTCATCATTTAAATTAAATTAGTGAATTAATAATAACAAACAAAAAGTAATAGTCCAACAGCATATATAGAAAGGAAAGCGTAATGGGTAGCGCGTTGAACTTCTAATTCAAAGGTCGTGGGTTCGAATCCCAACTCGGATGGCCTAGTTTTTGAGAATGTGATTTCTTTTTTATTATACTATTTTAAAGGAATAATTAAATTTAATGAATGAATAAATAGCAAGAAACAAAAACAAAAAATAATTCCAACACCCTATATAGAAAGGAAAATGGAAAATTGCAAAAGGAAAACAGTTTTCCATTTTGCCATTTAATATTGTGATTCTGTCGTATGTATATACATATCTATATTAATTGTAAATATTTAATAAAAAGTAACTAAAAATTTTTTTTTCTTTGTTGACCTATGTAGGAATTGACTTATTATTTGTTTATTTTTTTTTATTACTTGTTTAGCTTATTTGGAAAAAATTACCAGAAAATCGACATCTCGATTCGGTGAATCAAAAATGAATCATTTTTGGTTACTTTATGATTGCGCGCTTAAGTTGATCTTTCTCTCATACTTTGAGATAATAGACAAAGAAATTAAATTTGTTTATTATTTGCGTTTGTGATTGTTTTTGGTGCATTGGATCATGTCTACACACTCCTGATTTCACATCAGTTTCGGATCGCGACCATATGAGTACGGAAACCTCGGAGTTGACTTGGGGGGAGCGTTACTGCTTCAGTCAATACTTTTTAATAAAAATGTTATAAATTAAGGAGTAAGTTTGCAGAGATTAAGGATTCTTGGATTTAATGCAAATTTATTTATTTTTTTGATTTTTTTTATAAATTTAAAATGAGGACTTTTTGTTTAAAAAAATGTTAGAATCACAAAAATTGACATAAAAAATTATTTATTCAAGAACTAATCAATAAATATAATTGATAACTAAAACTGTGGTTTGGTAAAAAAAAATTTTTTAATGTTGATTAAAGTAACTCAGAAATTAGTTATTCAGCTTATAATTAAGCCATATTTTTATAAAATTCGCAGATTTCTAACTTGGTCCAACTAGTGAGTTACAAATTAAAATTTAAATGTTCGGGAGTTGTTAAATGGTCGGGTCAATTGTATACACTAAAACATATGAGTTTTTAATATTAATAAATGTAAAATAACATATTTTTGAGTCAAATAAATATTTTATAGAGTTTTATTAATTACAACACAGAGAACTGAAATTTTTGAACTGTATATTTATGTAGATTAAAAGTTAAATATCTTTATACACAATAATAGCTCATACAGGAAAATTTAAATAATCTTCTAAATATAAAAATTGCACATTAAAATTATATACTAGAGTTATGTATATAACAACATAGTTTTAACTTTTGATCTGTAATTCTACGAAAATTAGTTTTAGTATATCTTAGAATTAGCATCCAAAACAATGGATAGATTGCTGATTGCTTCTGTTAAATGGGTTTTTAGAAACTTATTCATAAGTTTCTATATTGTAAACTATTTTTTAAATTATCGTGGTCGAAAAAATTTGAAATCTGCAAAAGTATTCCATTATTTTTTGGATTTGCTTTGAATTCTAAATCCATGAAGCTGTTATCAAAAGCATTTAATCTTCTTTATAAAATGTTTGTCTGAGAAGTAGCTAATTTTTTTAAAAAGCCTGAACTATTTTTATTGGTTTATTATCCAAAAGCTTTTATATTTTCCATTGCAATATTTGAAATGTTCCTGAAAAAAAACTGCAACACTTTCCGAAGGCCAAAATTAAAAATTTAAAGCTTAGAATTATCCTTTTTATCACTCTCAAGCATTATATTTGCTTGACTTAATAAGTTTCTACTGTTCCGCAAGATTTATAATATATCCATAAGACATAATAAAAATATATATATATATGTATGTGTGTGTAAGTCTTTTTCACACGCAGATGCTCCTCTCTGTGATTGAGTTGTTATATAGTTCGGAAATATTGAAAGGAAAGGGATTATATTCTTAAATGTCTTATTTCAGAATAATTTTTATACGTGATCAAAATTTTTAAATGCATTAAAATGGATTAAAGTATAGAATTGTTCTTAGAAAAGAAAGGGAAACAATAAAATTCAAAAGAACTCAATTTAACACGCCATAAATTTTGAATTAAATGACAATAAATACATCTTTAGCCTTCAACTAACTGTAAAAGAACATTCAAATAGGCAATTTATAAAAATCAACAACCACTCTGCCTCGAAAACATGAACAGTGAAAGAAATAACAATCAAGCATGAGAAAGTCATCGAATTTTTCTGCAACTACGTTTCACATTGGAAATCCTATTTGAAGAATTCCAAGCCCGAACGCAAACTGAATACAGATTTAGATACAGATTATAAACGAAATTTAGGAAGATAACTAGATATTCGTCGCATAATCAGCAAAAAGCTGTCAAATGCTCAATTTATTGCTCCTTTCGATCACGGATCAGCGTTCCATATCGATAAAAGTACCTAAAAAAATGATCGAAAACCATACGATTACGAAAAGGATGATGCACCGTTTCATTTCGTAGATTTCGCAGCAACTTAGGCGTGAAGGGCTTTAGATAGTTCTGCTTCAGTCCTACTGTAAAACCGCAAAACGCAACTGACGTTTAGAGAAATGATACCATTTTCCATCGATTTTCCTCAATGCCTTTGGATTATGAAATGCGAAAAGCTGGTTCCCGGGTGTTCAATAATGCAAAAACCGCTGTTACTATCATTTGTTCGAAATTTATAACCCGGACTAAGTGTTTCGGGTACAAGCATGGGAATTCGTGAATTTACTGATGAATGAAAAACGACAACTCTGGCACGAATCATTAAAAGCAATTTTTAACGATAAACGAATGCGAAAACATGCAGCTTCACTTAAGATAAGTAGTTAAATATCCTGGAGACCATTATGTATGACCAAATGACAATTGCAATCCCGTTGCTTTGCATTATTAAAATTATTCGATTTTGTCCATTCAGTCGTTAACTAAAATTACAGATATAAAGATAACTTGGAATACTACTGTTAATTTATTTCTAGCTATTTAAAAAGGATTAAAAAATATGAAAATCTTATTTGTTTTTCAGAAAAGTATTAGATTACAAAAAATAAATACATAAAAATAAACTTGCGTAGCATTTTAATTATTGCAATTGGTTATTTATTGAAAAAAAAAGTTAAATATAAAGAAAAATTAGAAGAATTTGTAGATACTTCTTTTTGTATTATTGAAAAGAATTATGAATGCACTTCATACGTTTTATCGAGTAATTTTTAAAATTGTCCAATTAGAAGTTGTATTTCAATTATTCTAGACTCTATATAGTAAATTATATAATAAATGTCATTAAATAATAGTCATTAAATAATAAATACAGATTTAAGAGAAATTGAAACATCATAAAACGAAATAATTTTTATTCTTCATGGAAATTATTACAAACATTCAGATTTTATTTTCTTCAGTTAATGTTCAGTTCAGTTCAACTTCCAAAAATTGAATAAGCGTAGAGTATTTACAACAGTTGTCTTTAAACTGCGTTCTACGGAACCCTGGGGCTCCACGAGTCACAATAGAAAAATCGTAAAAAAACTTATAAATATGTACGCAAAAAATTATTATTTCTGTGAAGTTTGTATAGTTACACACAAGTATCTAAAACTCATCCTATTCATTGAAACTGAAGATTTTATTTATATGTATAATAACTTTTTATTTTTCAACATTTTTAAACTTTTGTTTCAATATAATAAAAGGGTATTATAATGTTTTACTCTTATATATATGCCTCCTACTAGATTGTGAATATTCTATTGTTTACTATCTTGGGTTCCACGAGATAATTTTATACTCGTTAATTAACACAGCCTAACTAAATAATTTTCTAATGGAAAATGCACCAATGTGCAATGGTGGAAAAAAACACCTATAATGAAGGAGAGGGAAAAGAAACTTATCAACATATTAAATATTAAAATCTAAATTTAAGCAAGAACAAAATTTAGGTTGCAAATTCATGAAAAATACACAGTATTTCTCACACAGCTATAAATATTTTAACGACATTCAGAACATTGTGTTTAAGTGAAATATATTTCTCCACGTGTGTGAGTGGCTACAAAAACAAAGTATAAAACCAATCATACGCAGAATTTGAAATGCTACTGTAGATAATTTCAATAGACACATAGACTTACTTCGACAATTTGTATGAAAAAAAGCAAGCATGTATTCCAGTTACTAAATATTAATTACTGGTAGGTGACACTAGAATCACAAATAAATATTATTAATGAGTATTTGAAAATTAGGTTAGAATTTTTTAATAATAAATGGAATACTCTTCTTTTAATTGCCTTTACATAAAGTACCTATAACATGTTGATCTACTTTCAATATTATTTGAGATATACTCTTCTAAGTATGTGCGTGGAATGGGGTTCCACGAAAACATTTCCTAGTTCCAGGGCAGTGATGGCGAACCTATGACCCGTGGGTCAGACACTGACCCACGCAAGCTTTTTAACTAACCCAAGATTGCGAGGCAACCACTTGTACGTTTACGCGGGTTTATTAAGATTTTCTAATTTGTGTGCATTATTTATATTCTATTTGTATTTTTACAAGCACTGCATTGACACAAAAGCAATTAGAATGCTGTCTGTAACCTTCAGTTTGATCATTACAGTACCAAAGTTACGCAAATGACAACAAATGTACATGAAAGTATGTAGTATATTTGAAATAAGGCAAAACTGCTTACAAAATATCAAATAAAGTATATAATTTTACTCACATTTTGTTTGTTGAAAAAAATCGATAAACAAAAGCAATTAACCATATTTAAAGCACTTCTTTGGATCAAATGCACTTTTGTAAGGTTATATTTAGTTACGCGTTTGTAGAAAGAGACTTCCGTAGCGCCTATTTTTACCCTTTAAGCCAATTGAATTTTAAAGATGTTTAATTTTAAAAATACTCAATTAAAAATTTTTTTAAACTTAACTCTGCTGCAAATGGGCATTAGTGACCCGCGAGCTAATTAATATATATATATATATATATGAATAAAATTTGACCCACGTCTCAAAAAAGTTCGCCATCCCTG